AGCTTCCCTCTCAAGCTCGGCACGCTCAGCACAGCTGAGCAGCCATGGCGGATCCAACGCCCGCAGGTGACAACCCTGAATCCGTCCCAGCCACGAAGCCAGCCGCCCTTACTGGCCTAGACTTCTTACGATGAGCTTCAACTGCTCACGTGTTAGTCTCGCCATCAGCTCCTACCGTTGTTTTCCCTTCCTCGGGCCCCGAGGCACCTACCATCTGGACGCAGGGCGAGTGTTCGACGCATGCTGGCGCTGCCGCATTACCTCGTGTCGCTGCCGCATCAACTCCTGCCGCTGCCGCATCAACTCCTGACGCTGTCGCATCAACTCCTGACGCTGCCGCATCAACTCCTGACGCTGCCGCATCAACTCCTGACGCTGCCGCATCAACTCCTGCCGCTCCCGAACCCACAAGGAACCGTCATCCTGTCGCTGCCGGAACTACTCCCGTCGGACCTCGTCTCAAAAGGGGTATCAAAGTGACGTACCGACAAACAAAGATCAACTGGGGTGCCAGTCAAGCTACGCCAACGTCTGGTGTGGGGAAATCCTCCCCGGAGGCCCGACAGCGTAAACAGAAGGGGAAAGCGGTTGAGGTTACCTCCGAAACAGAACTGCCCGACATAGCCGAGGAGAAATACCAGGATGCCTTATTTATGTTCAACAAATAGTGGTCTGACGACTCTCCGTGGCTTGTTCTGTGTCAGACGAGTGCAGGATTCCCGTCAATCAAGTGCTCGGTCTGCATTGTGCATGGCGGTGTGGGCACGAACTTCGGCGCCAAAGGAGAAGGGGCGACCGATGTGCAGACCCAGGCAATGCGGAAGCATCAACGCACAAGGAAGCACCACCGCGCTCTGCGCAGACAGAGGACAGCCGAGGCGGCGCTCAAAGCTAACCGCCGGATTGACGACAACAAGAAGGTGAAAGACGTCGAGAAGGAGCGCCTGCTCGCGCTATTTGAGACGGCACTCTTCATCGCTAAGTCCGACGCCCCGATCGAGATGTACGTCGACCTCGTCCAACATCTAGCGCAGCGTGGCACACCTGGCTTCCCAAAGAGCAGTTATGGTGCCTACTATACGACGTAAGTGACACTGCTCTAGTACATATCGTCGGGGGATGTGATATACGTGAAGCTATCACTAACCACACGCGTTGATGCCCGTGCAGGTACGGATTTGAAGAGATCACCGCCGCAATAGCGACATACCTTCGTGCGCGCCAGAGAGAATTCATTTATTCGAGTCCATTCATTGGTCTGAGCTGCGACGAGAGTACGGACCGCGTCAAAGGGAAGCACATGATTGTGTTTGTAACCTTTCTGCGTGAGCATGCCGTCACCATAGAGTTTCTTACTAACCTCTCCGTCGAGAAGTGTGATGTAGCATCTCTTTATGCTAAGATCACGGGATTCCTTGACAGTATTAGCCTGCCGGTGGAGAAGGTGGCGAGTATCAGCACCGATGGGGCACCTGTGATGATAGGCAACGACACGGGCCTCGTTGGGCGTCTTCGACTGGAGGTCCTGCACGTGGTGGCTTCTCACTGCATCGCACACAGGTAAACTGTTGCTGTGGTGGTGGTGTTGCGGTATGAGATGTGCAACGTGGTATGTCGCAGTGCGAATTCTAACACCCGCACCCGTGCATTTCTACTCGTGGCAGGGAATCGCTTGCTGCAAAGGAGGCGGCTAAGGCACTACCCGAGCTTGGCATAATCGACGCAGTTATCCGCGCAGTGGCAGAAGATCTCGGCAGATCCAGCAACTCCAACCGCAAGTTCAAGGAGCTGCAGGAAGTGTTCACGCATACCAACCTCGAGGTCCAGGGGATCCACAGCGTCCGCTGGTTGAGTCGCGGCGATGCAATCGCACGATTCGTACGCGTTCTGCCTGCTGTCATCGTTATGCTCGAGGAGTCGGACAAGACGATGTACCACTTAGTAACGTCGTTCAAGTTTCATTACTTCTTGTTCTTCTTGGCAGATGTGCACACGGCACTCAACGCGCTCAACCTGCTATTCCAGAAGCGACAGGTGAGTTGTTGAGTTCTGTTTTGCAGTTCTCTTCTTCTCCCAGGTACTTATCTTTTGTTTCGGTGTACCAATTCTCCCCCCACCGACAGGTCGACCTCACTGCACTGCACTCCCAGGTGAGGCGGACCATCATCTACATGGAGCAGAGGTACCTGAACTGTGGCCAGCAGTTTGGCGGTGGGACCAGTGAGCTGCTGTCTGCTTTCCCCGCGCGGCACACCTCGCCCGACTGCCGTGAAGTGACTGTGGAAGGGGTGGACAAGGAGGGTCAGCCTTGTGTACACAAGTTCCAGCTGCACGAGGAGGCAGTCAAGGGATACACCACCAGCAGCGGGGACGTGCAAGGCTGCTACACCTGCTGCCGCTCATTCGCCCGCGAGCTAGTGTACAGCCTCGAGCTGCGCTTGGGAGACCTGACGCGCTTGAACGGGGCGAAGCTCTTCATGCCCTGCTCGTGGCCGAGGGGCGTCGAGGCAAGAGACGCAGAGTGCAAGGAGCACCTGCATGGCCTCGTCCATCTGTTTCAGGCCTAGAACCGGGACACGATCTTGCCTGGTGAGCGAGAAATAGATCCCCACTGACCTGCGTGTATGCATTGCCGTTTCCGTGGTTGCGTTATTCCCATGTTGTGCGCTTGACTTTCTACCCTGGTTGTGCTCAACCCGTTTCGCAGGTGTCCAGAAGCGTGCGGCACGAGCGGAGCTGCGCACGTTCCTGCCGGTGCTCTCCACTGCCCCCAAGGAAGAGCAGCCCTTTCACACAGGTTTGAAGGCCATCTTGCAGACCAACGACTGGCAGACCAGCTACCCCAACTTAGTCCGTCTATGGGTTGCGGTCGCTGTTCTGCCTCTCAGCACAGTCGAGTGCGAGCGCGGATTTTCCCGCCAGAATGTGATCAAGTCGTGGCGCCGAACGAGTCTCTGCAACGCCAAGCTGGGAGATTTGCTGGCAATGAGTCTGCTCAACTACGACATGGAGTGGGATAAGGTGCTGGACATCTGGCGGAGCACCAGGAAAAGGCGCCCCAGCAAGTGCAAGGAGCAAGCTGCGCCAGTGAAGGAGCGAGCCAAGGCCAAGTTTGTTAAGGGGAGTGGCTGCCGGGTGGTGGAGGAGGAGGACCTAAACGAGGGCATGTGTGGTTCTGCAGGCGGTGGTAGTGAGAGTGTTGACGATGCCAGTAGTAGTGGTGATGATGCGAGCGTTTCTTCTGATGAAGACATGACATGAGCTAGTTTGTTAGTGGTAGATTCAGCCAGCATGCGGTATTGGTGCTGCTGTTTGTCACAATGGTAACTTTGGGCGCATCCATGCACTGTTGCATCAGCTCTGCTTTTTTGGTTTTTTTACACTGCAGGTTCAGTTTAGGACAAAAAATTACACTGACAGTATCAGTATAAAGAAAACCACCAACGCTGATTTGGACACCTGGTTGGCAGGGGCACGCTGATCCATCAGCATACCCTCAAACCAATCTGAGGGCCTGTACTAGCGCAAGGTGGTTCACAACTCTTCATTAAACGCTTCCGCTACTACTACATCAGTCCTACTCAGAGTTCACCCCTGCAAAGATGCTAAGGGCTTTTCTCAGCCCAATGACCGTAAGGCTACTATTATGATAGTTTGTCCTTGCTGTCGCGCTGTACTTGTCAGGTCAAAGGTCGCTGACCTTTGACTTTCGCGTAACTTCCAGCAACTGTTCAACCTTCGAGGGTTGACTCGCCAATGTTTCGATATGTTTCGCTTCGCTTCTGAATTGGTGTTTCGACACGACAGAGGCGCTTAAGTTACTTGTTTCCAACATGTCTGTCAACTCCAGAATTAAATCCTACATCAGACAGCTATGTCCTACATCCATATTAGGTCTGGATGGCGGTCTAGGGTTATGAGATGGTGGTTCATAGACGGTATACATTCTCCCAACAAACTCACGTGCTCATTCATATGGTACAGCTTCCCTTATAATACAGCTCACTGCTGGCAAGTACACTTAATGATACAACCTCTACGGTGACTGTACACCTTATTCAAACAAAAATGTTACGATCCAACAACAAATGACGCCTTGATCCCGTCGCTACAGTCATTGTTGGCTTTGCTGCTGAAATAAATGGTATTGCCGTAATCTTTGGGCACCACCTTGTAGATGTACTTTCCGTAGTTGCGGCTGCGTGCGAGCTGCTTCGCGTTGAGGAACGTGCATGCAGTGTAATCCGCCACGTCAACCTTGTGCACCGAGTGTACCTCGCCCACCCATTGGAACACTACAGGTAACGGAGAGCGGAGGGAGGGAGATATCAAGGGCAGGAGAGGTAGCTGTCATTCTGGGATCAATATCTACACTCGAGAGCTCTGTCTGTCATCTTGCCGACATGCCGTAGTGCCCTGGCGCCACCTTGTAGATGTGATTCACTCTGCACTACCTGCTCTGCACTCTGCCCTGCGCCAGCTGGTGAGCCTCAGCCCTTGAGCCACAATTCATTACTTAACCCTAAAAAACTCAAAGACCAGAGTTGGTGGTTGTGGTGTGCTGTGCTTCCAGATCAGGCCCGGTGTGCTAGAGCAGGCCCGGTGTGCCAGATCAGGCCCGGTGTGTCAGATCAGGCCCGGTGTGCCAGATCAGGCCCGGTGTGCCAGATCAGGCCTGGTGTGTCAGATCAGGCCCGGTGTGCCAGATCAGGCCCGGTGTGCCAGATCAGGCCCGGTGTGCCAGATCAGGCCCGGTGTGCCAGATCAGGCCCGGTGTGCCAGATCAGGCCCGGTGTGCCAGATCAGGCCCCGGTGTGCCAGATCAGGCCCGGTGTGCCAGATCAGGCCCGGTGTGCCAGATCAGGCCCGGTGTGCCAGATCAGGCCCGGTGTGCCAGATCAGGCCCGGTGTGCCAGATCAGGCCCGGTGTGCCAGATCAGGCCCGGTGTGCCAGATCAGGCCCGGTGTGCCAGATCAGACCTGGGTTGTAAATCTTGCAATCAAAATTCCTTCCTGACAGCGTTACCGCTCCCCGCCCACTCGAAAACCACCATTGTCAATTGCTGCACTTGGGCGGTAGTACCAGCGGCAGCAGCAGCAGCAGCACCCAACTCGGACACGGACGTACCTAGCAGGTCGCCAGGCAGCACCTTGGGCGCCTTCCAGTCCTTCACCGCAAAGCCCCATGGTGACAGCCACCGGCCGTTATTGCCCCCCACATACACCACTTTCTGCACAAGGGGAGAGGATAGAGGGGGCGGGGGCAGAGCCGCACATAAGTTGGGGGAGTTCTTGAGTCAACTCCTAAGGTAGCAGCACGGGGACAGCCACGTGCCGTTGTTGCTCCCCACGAACACCAATTCCTGCACGCGGGGAGAGGAAAGGGAGAGAGAGGAGGGGGGAGGGAGATGAGCGTGATAGCGAGGACGGAGGGGAAGGGAGCAAGAACGGGAGGGAGGGAGGAGGGACTCCCTCGGAGGGAACAGGAGGGGTGTGAGGGAGAGAAGGGAAGCAGAACGAGCATGTCTCACTTACGAGAGGAAGGGGAGGAGGGGAAGGGTGCGGGAGATGAGGAGATGGGGGTGGGGAGAGACGGAAGTGCTTCTATGAAATATGCGAACGTGGTTTCTCGAACTTGGCGAATGTTTCTCGCAGCCCTACCTGCGCCTCGGCGCTGCCTGAGAAGGAGCGAGCGGCGAATGGCGGTGACCGTTGATCATCGTCGCCGGAGAGGCGGACATCGGCGGCCGCGGGCACGGGGCGCACATCGGAGATTGCGGAAGGGGGAGGGGTAGGGCGTCGCGGGAGGAGTGAAGGGGGGGAGGAGGAGAAGGTCGCGGGTGAGAAAAGAGGAAAACATGAGCGCTAGGCGAACTGAGGAACGTGAGGAAAGGGACTATCTGGGGAGCGAGAAGCTGGATTTTGAAAATTCTCAGAAACCAGCGGAGAGTAACATGGTATGGGCGCGAGTCGGATTGAGAAACGTGAGGGAATGGGACGATTTGGGGAGGGAGAAGGAGCCTTGCGAGTAGATGCGACGTGCGTTAGACATTCGCCGTAGTACGGTGTGTGGAGGAATGTGGAGAGAAAGCGGAGCAGACGGAAGCAGTGGTACATGCCGCGTTTGAGCGCGGTAGGACTGACTTCGAAAGCGGTAGGACTGAGTATAGTAAAAGGGTAAGGCGGAGTTTCAAAGCGTGAGAAGGAGTAGGACGCGATGGCGCCTCGAGAGGGAGAGCACATCGATAAGTAGAACAGCACGGGCGGTCCCCAGAATCACGTACCGATCGCACGAAATGAGTGGAAGCACGTACCAACGAGGAGGACGAGTGCGGCAAGGAGGAGCCGCAGATGATTGGTTGCGCGCGCCATGATTGTGACAGCTGGGATGGACGGTACTGGGCTCGAAGGGGAATTGTTCAGGCGGATGCTAGTCCGTGAGCGGAAACAGAAAGGGGATTATTGCGGGCTATGATGTTGAGTTAAGGGGGCACAAAATATGTACACATGTTCCTTGAGGGGAGAAGGTAGGATTGTTGGAGCTTGGTCGGTGGGAGGACAAGACGGGGAGAACATGGAGTTCGGGAATCGGGATTTGGAAGCTTGCGGTGAATTGCGGTGCAGAGGGATGAGGTAGGTAAACGAGGCGTTGCTGCTGTTTCTGGGATTTCACTGAGTTGTTGGGCCGTCACGGAGTTTGTGAACCTGAATGAACCGCACAGAACACGAGCGATCTCTGAGCTACGTACATGGTCGCAGCTTTGTTTGTGCGGAGCGGAATGCAAATGCAAATGAACAAGCTCCACGAGAATGTCGGGCAGACACTGACCTTGGTGGTTGGTCATAACCAATTCTTCCGCTCGCACTGGAGAAAAAAAGGGCGCCAATTCGCCCTTCAAGGCGGCAGTGGCTGCCCGAAAAATTACAGTTACATTGCCAGTCTGTTCACGCATCTCCCCAAGTGTTCGGGGTGGAAAGTTCTGCGCCGCCAGAAAATGTCACAACAAGGGGACAAGAAAGACCCGTGAGCGCGGCTGTGGTGATCGTCCTAACATTGACTCGGTACTGTACTAGCATAACTTGGACCTGACCTTATAACTACACCAGCGGGAACTGTCATTACATTCTCAATAAGTTCACTACATCTGCTGATGTAGTATGCAACGTAAGGAAAACAAGTTTGCCCTTCACCTGGCTCCAGTGTGTACAATTACCTCAATTTTTCAAGTACTGTACTGCTAGGTCTGAGTTGAGAATAATGGTCTTTCTGATTCTTGGTTGACATAGTTGTTCAAACAACCTTTTCATCTCGACTTGTCTTACCCTTCATTGTGCCTGGTCTTGCGTTACGCATTGTTCTATTCTCTGGTATTAGATGGAGCAATGAATCGCATTTTTTATTTCCTACGAAGAAAGAGGAACGCACGCAAAGGCAGAAAGTGGAACGTAGCCTTCATGTTAGACGCATTTCCAAAGCACAGTAAGATTCAAATCAACAGGAAGAAAAGGGGGGGAGAGACACCGCAAATGAAATCCCCTGATTCGGCTTGCAGATTGTTCTGCCCGCCCGGTCAGAGTTATCCAAGAAATGCATGGGTAATGACCTGAGTCAAGACGTCGTGTCCCTTCCCAAATCAAAATAAATCAAACCGAACCAAAAGAAATTCAAACCATGCGCTCATACATATCGTACAGCCCCCCCAACAACCATACCGGAGACAGCCACAGAGCCAACCACTACAGTACGTGTACACATTCTCTTTCAGAAGTTCAAAGTTCTTACGACCCGACACTGAACGCCACCTTGATCCCGAGGCTGCAGTCCTTGTTGGCCTTGCTGCTGAAGTAGATGGTCTTGCCGTACTCCCTCCAGTTCACCTTGTACCAGTAGCTCCCGTAGTTGCGGTTGCGTGCGAGCTGCTTCGCCTTGACAAACGTGCATGCGGCATACTCAGCCGCGCTGACCTTGTGCACCGAGTGCACCTCGCCCGACCACTGGAGCACTGCAGACAGGGGGGCAGGGGGGCAGGGAGGGAGGGAGGGAGGGAGGGAGGGAGGGAGGGAGGGAGGGAGGGAGGGGGGGGAAAGGAGTTGACAAACGTGCATGCAGCTTACTCAGCCGCGTTGACCTTGTGCACCTCGCCCTACCACTGGAACACTGCAGGCAGAGGGGTAGGAGGGCAAGGAGGGCAGAGGGGTAGGAACACTGCGTGACGCGGGGGGCAGGGAGTTACATGTATTACACATCCTTCTCAAGTGAAGTGTGATACTTTGTGCACCAAATGGACCTCTCCCGACCACTGGAACACTGCAGGCAGGAAGACAGAGAGGAAGGCAGTGAGGGAGCCACCCACACACTCGCGCAGCACATCACATCAGCACACGCACATCAGGACACGCACATCACCACACGCACATCACATCAGCACACGCACATCAGCACACGCACATCACATCAGCACACGCACATCAGGACACGGGCGTACCCAGGCTGTCGCCAGGCAGCAACTTGGGTGCCTTCCAGTCCTTCATCGCGAAACGGCACGGGGACAGCCACCCACATACACACAGACACACTCGCACATCATTCGTACACCACACAACACACATCACACTCACACTCACACACACCCGCAGGAGCATGCGTACCTAGGCTGTCGCCAGGCAGCACCTTGGGTGCCTTCCAGTCCTTCATTGCGAAACCCCATGGGGACACCAACCGGTTCGAGCTGCCTCCCACGTACACGATTTTCTGCACGCGGGGAGAGGGGGCAAAGGGGCGAATTGGGGGAGGAGGGAGTCTTGTTGAGTCGACTCGGTACCAGCCTCACAGGGAAAACAACCGGTTCGAGCTGCCTCCCACGTACACAATTTTCTGCACGTGGAGAGAGGGGGCAAAGGGGGTGGGGAGAAGGGGGGAAATTTGATGAGTCCGCGGGGAGAGGGGGCGGAGGGTTGAGAGTGAGAGGGGCGGGAGAGAGGCGAGCGGGAGAGAGGCGGGAGGGAGAGAGGCGGGAGGGAGAGAGGCGGGAGGGAGAGAGGCGGGAGGGAGAGAGGCGGGAGGGAGAGAGGCGGGAGGGAGACATAATTAGTTGAACGTCGCGATCCTGAACCGAAGAGGCCTTTCTTTCGCGTCATTGGCGAGCAAGGTTCGCTAGAACTTCGTTTTTCTTCAAAGCTTCGCGAACGTTTCGTTTTTCTTCAAAGCTTCGCGAACGTTTCGTTTTTCTTCAAAGCTTCGCGAACGTAGAGAGGGGGGCGGAAGCAAAGGGATATAAGGAGGAAGAGAGCATTGAGATGGAAGGGAAGGGGTGAGGGAGAGAAGGGAAGCAGTACGAGCATGTCACCTCGCATGTCGCGAATCTACGATGAAGGCGACGAGGGGATAGCGAGGGAGAGGGGGAAGAAGCAGAGGGGAAGGGAAAGGAGGCGGCTCCACGAATTTCTTGAATGTGTTTCCTCGCATGTCGCGAATGTGCCTTCTCGCATGTCGCGAATGTGCCTTCTCGCATGTCGCGAATGTACCTTCTCGCATGTCGCGAATCTGCCTGCTCGCATGTCGCGAATGTGGCTTCTCGCATGTCGCGAATGTGCCTCCTCGCATGTCGCGAATGTGCCTTCTCGCATGTCGCGAATGTGCCTCCTCGCATGTCGCGAATGTGCCTTCTCGCATGTCGCGAACGTACGTTCTCGCATGTCGCGAATGTGCCTCCTCGCATGCACACGAGGTTGCATGCGAGTCCGTCCACGTAGGCATACCTGTGCCTCGGCGCCGCCTGAGGAGGAGCGAGCGGCGAATGACGTTGAAAGTCGTCGCCGAAGAGCACGCGTGAGCAGCGGGTATGCGGCGGGGGAAGTCGGGGATTGCGGAAAGAGGGAAGGAGGGGAGAGGGGGAACAGGAGGGTGTGGGGAGGGAAGGGGGGGGGGGGAGGAGGGGAGGGGGTGGGGAAGAGTAGAGGAAAAGGAGGGGGAGGTGGGTCGTGGAGGAGCAAAAATATGGGCGCGAGGCGAATTGAGGAACGACAGGCGAATGGGGGCGGAGTTTGAAAGCGTGAGGAGGAGTATGAAACTTTGGCGCCTCGCGAGGAAGAGCACGCCGATAATAGAAGAACGCGGTCAGCCTCGAGTTGCACAAAGGAGAGGAGGCACATGTAACGTGTCCGTGCTCCGCTCATTGCTCCGCGCTCCCCTCATTGCTCCGCGCTCCCCTCATTTGCGCAAACTCGATTACAGAACAGCGAACTCATTTGCGCAGGCTCGATAACAGAACAGCGAACTAATTTGCGTAACCTCGGTAGTGGAACAGTGCGGGCAGTGCGGAGGTACGTACCGACGAGGAGGACGAGGGCGGCAAGGAGGAGGAGGTGGAGCCGCAGAGGAACTAGGCGCGACATGATGACGAAGGTTGGATGGGTAAGTGCTGACTGGTTCGGAAGGGGACTCTGTTCGGGCGGGTAAAGGTGTGGGTGAGAGGGAAATGGGAGAACCAGGACTAGGCGTTTCCTGTTGGGAAAAGGCGCAAAGATGAGGTATGATATTATGGGGAGGTGAGGTCGTGTCCGTAGGGATGACATGTCGAAGTGGGCAGTGTCAATTTGGCATTTTGACACTCTGCCAACATTGTTGGCAGAGTGTTCAGAAATTGCAGGTTGCCAGCCAATACAAATCGTCGGACACTTTTGAAATTGGCACATACAAACCTACAAACGAGACAAGATTGTCGCAGGTGCCGATCTCACGAAGCACATAATATGTCTTTTGAATTGTTCGTTGCCTAGCAGATCTACCCATGACAAATTCTCAAACCAATGAAATTGCGTCGCTGATGTTCGTACCTGCGCTTTGACCTGACACTAGTGCTTGACATTCTAATTTGAATGCGCTTTGGGTTGACACGCTCTCACCTGACATGTCAACCCTACAGACACGAGCTGAGACGGCGTTGTGTGTGTGGTAGGAGTTCGGTTTGCGAGCTGGAACAACGGAGAACATGGGGCGGGGGTTCATCGAGTTGAGGTAAGGTTCCGTACGTTGCAGAGGGATTCTGTAGGATGTTCGGATTTTGACGGGGCAACAAGGCGGAAACAAGGGTTCTGTTGCTTGCGCACATATAGTCCTGTGTACTGTACAGCAGAATTCTGAAGAACCACACGCTACACACGAGCGGGATGGCAAGCGTCCAGAAAATGTCGGGCAGACAAACACCTTGGTGGTTGGTAGCGACCGATTCTTCTGGAACCTGCGCTGTAGAGGGAGCGGAATAAGAGGGCTACGAATGCAGAATAAGACAGACACGTTCTCACTGACAACAGTGGATGCCCAAAAAAAGGGTAATTACTTTTTGGGTAACTCTCATCGAGCCCGCTGACGTCAAAGTCACCTACGTGGCTCGATGGTACCCGTCAGATCATGCGCGCCCCTTCGTGGTACCCATCTTCCCTCCGTGGTACCCATCTTCCCTGCGTGGTACCCATCAACTGTGCGCGAATTCCCTGACTGGTACCGCAACATTACAACCAAGCTGTACACCGTACAGCAAGGGTTTCAATGCGTTTTTCAGTATATTGTCTTAACGTTTATAAGCTCAATAGAGCACAGTTGATTGGTACCACGCAGGGAAGATGGGTACCACGGAGGGAAGATGGGTACCACGAAGGGGCGCGCATGATCTGACGGGTACCATCGAGCCGCGTAGGTGACTTTTGACGTCAGCGACCTCGATGTTGGTTACCCAGAAGGTAATTACCCAAAAACAAAGCAAGCAGTGGGTTTGCTCTCTTCCCTCCCAACCTGTTACGGGTGCAATGAATCGAGGTAGCGAGAATTGCACTAAGGTGTCAAACGAGTACAAAATGTGAGCGAAGGCATGAGCGAACATTTATACGCGAAACATGCAAAACGGTAACGCGGTGCGTGCGAGCTTGCTAGTGCTACGCTGGAGCGAGGCTCGGGCTAGTCCCGAAGCGTAGGCCGATACGGCCATGCCAGCAGTGCGAGGTTTGGTAAAACAGTGCGCGCGAAGTCGGCGAAGTTCCGTTAGCAGTAACGGGCGAACAATCGGCTGTTGCTGTACGCGATGTAGTCGGCTCCGTAAGGAATGCCGAGAAAATTCCTTACACTACCCCCCCCCTCAAGAAGCCCCCTCCGCTACGCGAGTGCGTGTATATCGCGGAATCCCCGGCTCCTCAGGTACACTTGCAGGGAAGGGTGATTTTCGATGTTGCTCAGGGGCACCCAGCTATCTTCAGTTGGCGTGCGGTCTTTCCAGCGAACGAGGAATTCAATCCTCCTGATTCCCGTGGGGTGGCGGATCCGATGGCTTATATTTTTTTCGGGCTCGATGATCGGCTCTGATGCAGGGCGAGTCATTGATTGTGGCCGGTGACGCGGCAGTTGACTTGTGGTCGGGATGTATGGGCGAAGTAGGCTGACGTGGAACGAAGGGCTAATGTACCAGTCGGTTGGCAACAGTAGGTGTGCGGTGACGGGTGTGATCATGTGACTGATTTGGAATGGTCCACAGTAGCGTGGTCGTAATTTTGGTACGTCGGGCAGTCGCAGATTTTGCGTGTCGAGTAGCACGTAATCTCCAGATTGATACGTGACGGGGCGGCGGTGGCGATCAGCGTTGCGCTTAGCGATGACGTTGGCCTTTTTTATTGCTTCGGCGGCTCTGGCGCGGGCAGCTTGCAGGATTTCGGCGAATTGTTGTGCGCGTGGCGTTGGGTTGTCCGGACTCGGCGTCATGGGCACTGTGGGGTTCTGCCCATAGTTCAGGTAGAACGGGGACTGCTGCGTCATGGCTGATGTGGCGTTGTTGTACGCGAACTCGATCAGCGGCAGCTGCTGCTCCCAGGTCGTGGGGTCGTCGCACGTGGCACGAATCAACTGCTCCATCGTCTGATTCGTCCGCTCCGTTTGGCCGTCGGTCTCGGGGTGGTACGACGAACTGAACTGTAGCCTGGTCCCGAACTGCTCCCAGAGGTTCTTCCAGAAGTTGCTGGTAAATTTCGTGTCCCTGTCGCTGATAATTGCTGCTGGTATCCCGTGCAGGCGAACAACGGCTGCGATGAACAGGCGAGCGGTCTCCTCGGCTGAGATCGACTTTTTGCACGCAGCGAAGTGTGCCATCTTCGTCAGCCTATCCACGACGACCATCACCGCGTCGTTACCCCCAGGGTTCGAAGGTAACCGTGTGACGAAGTCCATGGTTACTTGCTGCCAAGCGCGTTCGGGCGGTGGGATCGGCTGCAATTGACCCGCCTTCCGCTTCCTTGAACTCTTCATCACCTGACACGTCGGGCACGAGCCCACGTGCTGCTGTACGTCGGTCAACAGCTCCGGCCAGTAATAGTACCGCTGCAGTTGCTGTCGCGTTTTTTCTACCCCGAAATGTCCCGAGGTAATCCCGTCGTGTGCCTCCTGTAGTAGCAGCTCCCTCAGTAGTGAGTACGCGGGTACCCAAATGCGGTTGGTGCCTGCTTTTACGTAATAGACTCCTTTTGCTTCTGCCAGTTGCTGTGAATTTCCGGTCGTGAAAAATGTGTCGGTGCGGTATCCGTGGGTGAATAGGCCAGTTAAAAGCGGGTTGGTCTGGGCGAGTAGGATGGCATGGAGTTGGGCGGTGGGGCGGGTGAGAGCGTCGGCGATGTTGGATGCACCCTTTTTGTACGTAACGGTGTAGTGAAAATTGGACTCGAGATAGTCCAACCAGCGAATCTGTCGTGGGTTGAGATTCGGTTGGGCGCGAAGATACTGTAGCGAGCGATGGTCTGTCCGTACTGTCACGTCGGCGCCAGTCAGGTAACATCCCCAAACTTTGAACGCGTGCACGATCGCTAGCATCTCGCGGTCGTGTATCGGGTAGTTACGTTCGGGCGGGTGTAACTTGCGGGACTCGTACGCGATTGGCTGGAGGCCGTTCTCGAAATCCTGCAACAGTACTGCTCCCACAGCGATGTCACTTGCGTCGGTGACGAGCTCGAACGGACGGTGGGGATCTGCAATGTGAAGGACGGGCGGGGAGCACAAAATAGTTTTGAGGGCCGAGAAGGCAGCTTGCTCTTTCTCCCCCCACGTGTACTC